CAATTCAATTCAATTCAATTCAGTTCAATTGGTACAAGATGGTACTATACTTCTGTAGCCAATTTTTTTTCTTATGGACATTGCAGCAGCACAGAACTTTGCCACTGCATACGTGGTAACCGGGCTAGTATCCTGGGGGAGAAAGCCTAGATAAAAATGGTCTGCCCTCCCAATGAGGAGCAAAACATCATCTTCCTCAAGGAAAAAAAATAGTCCAGTTGCTTTTTGTAAAAGCACCTTTAAGACTACTGGTCTGACAAAACTGTGGCAGGTAAAAATGACTTGAGCAGTATTTGCAGAAGTCAAGAATCAGAACAAGTAATGGTACAACTCTTTATGTTCAGGAGCTGTCATTTTTTAAATTTCATCTCGAAAATCACTTCTGATGAGTTAACAAACTTTCAGTACATGCCACGTTCCCATAACTGTATCTGTGGCATACAGATAAATATGTGGTTGGCAATAGCAAAAATCTACAGCAAGCTTACAAAAAGGTGTAATTCATTTCTGTGTCTTCCCCGTACATTTCTACATGATTTCCTCGCTGTCGCGAGGACCTGAATTCTCAAACTCAACAGAGAACCAGATTGAAGAGGCAGAACATTTAGCTTTTAAGGCCCAAGACCAATACCTTTAACTGAGCCTCATCCCGATAACGCCGTCGTTTTTCCAATTGCTTGTTTCCACTACTTGTGATAGCCTGGAACTCTTCTTCGGCTTTGGCACTTTGCACTTTGGCTTTTTCCAAATCCTCACAGCGCTGGAGGTAATGGAGGCGAGATTTGCGCATCGAAGACAAGGAATCGTTCTGCAATTAGAGGAGGCAAACTGTTGTTGAGCAGTAGCTCTACCATAGGCTTTGTTTTTGAATGTGTATTTGTATTATTAGTGTTATAGGTAGTCCTTGACTTACAGCAGTTCACTTAGTGACCATTCAAAGTTAGGACACTGAAAAAAGTGACTTATGACTGTTTTTCACATTTACGACCATTGCAGCAGCCCTATGGTTCCCATCCAGTTTTATGTCACATGGCCATCTACAGCTGGCATGAATTTCTCCGAAAAAACCAAAGGGTAGTCTGAGTAATAATGTTAATAATAAATGCCCTAACTTATTCTATGTTTTGAGGCTGAAAGACAAGGGTGGGTTCCTGCCAGTTCTGATCTCTTCTATAGAAGAGGTTCCACAAATCTACAGTGCCGTTTAGAACCGGTTCCAGCTCCCTCCCCCCGCCTGTCCGCANAGTTGTTTTTTGAAACCTCCAGATAATGTTATTAATTTCCAAATTATCAGGTAGTCTTCAACTTAAGACCACAATTGGAATTAGAACTACTATTGCTAACCAATCTGATCATTAAGTGAATCATCACATGACTACTCCCAATTTGACAAATGTGATTATGTGGTTATTAAGTGAAACCAGTTTCCCTTATTGTCTTTGCTTGTTGGAAGTCAGCTGGGAAAGTCACGAATGGCGATCATGTGACATCAGGATGCTGAAACCATTGTAAATAATGTAAATAAGCAAGGTCACAAATCACAATAATGTGACTGCTGGAACACTGCAACATTTGTAAGTGTAAGCACTGGTCTTAAGTCCGTTTTTTCAGTGCCATCATAAGTTCAAATAATTTCTACACAAACTGCTGTAAATCGAGGACTATCTGTAATAATAATGTATACAGGAAAAGTAATGTGAGATATTTCATGTGATTCTACATATATCTATACCAATGTGCAATATAAGGCAATTCAATACAATTAAACCAACAAAATATTCCTAGCAGTTGCAATGTTAATTGTTTAAAAACTCTGCTATGTCAAAAACATATTTTATTTTACTTTAACTATCTCAAGTGAAAATTTTGTAGTACATTCCATAATTAAAGTATATTAAGGCACTGCAGTATGCAATGCTCATGCTGGATAAGTATTACATTTGAAGCATACATATGTGCTTAAAATAAGCAATAGATCACAAATGAGAACATAAAGGAAATCTTTACAAGTTTACAAAAGCTATTTGTGCATATCTTCTCAGATATCAATTGACTGCTTTGCATTCTACATAGCAAGACAAGCACCAAATTAATGCTATCCAAAGAGTCAGCCAACAGTCACAGTAATAACTTGAGAAGGAAAGTCATTAGTTACAGCCAACAAAAAATTATGAATGGTTTAGCTGAAGATCTGTGGCCTGTTTGCAACACAGCTCATTTCAATGACTATAAACAAATGAAAGAAATCAATAAATGGTGGGTAATTAACAAATTATACAGAATGCTCCTTCTGAAAAGTAAACTATGTTTCTGCTCTGCCTGTACCTTTCAGATTATCTTTTTTTAAATGCTACTATCATTTGTGGGAGGATCACTCTCTGTACACTGACAGCTGCATCTAACATGTTGGGATAGACAATGCTAGATAATGGGTACAATATAGCTAGATTTGCAGTGCTGTCAAGCTTCTGCCAAAGTTTTATTATTAGACACTTGGATGAATTCTACATTCTAAGCCTTTCTGTTCTGTGTCCAGAAACAATGAAAAGAAGATGACATATTTTGTATAAAATTACACATTTTGATTTCTCTTATTATTCAGATGTATGTTAATAGATACTGAAGAAATTAGCTATGCATCACTTTAATAAAGCCAAAAGTTATTTCAGAGGACAGCAGGTGGCCACTTTAAGCAGGTTCAAACAGGTATTACAGTGTGCCCAGATGCTATGACACAATGTTTTTACCGTTGAATCTGAACTATTATGTATCCTCACTGATTAGGTCAAGTGAAGCAAGTATCATTGGTTAGTTTGAATTTCCTTCCTTAGAGTTGATCATGTGCCATCAAGTCAGTATCAATTCTTAGTGACTATATAGATCATTTTTATCCCATGAAGGTGTCCCTAATCTGGCCTGTAACCGATATGCGGGAGGCAGCGAGTGCGGGGACCGACAGGAGTGGGAGTGCTGCTACCGCCTGCCCTGTCCTCTGTTCCACTGTTTACTTGCCTGCAGCTGCAATGACCCACGCTCTCAGCATCCCACCCTCCGCTCTCCCTGCCTACTGGCCCTGCTGCTACAGGGACACTGCAGCTCGTGTCTTATTGCACCGCTGAAGCTGCTTGTGCCAGGCCATTAGGCTCTTTGCACTTGTGGAACCACTCTTAGAAAGACGCCGTGAGGCTTGTCATGCTGGTGGAGCCACTCGTGCGTGCAACGGCACAACACACCATGCAGCATCCTTCTGCAAGCAGCTGCACCAGCACGACGAGGCTCGCGGCGACCGACAGTGACTCCATAAGTGCAATGAGCCTCACAATGTCCTTCTGAGAGCAGCTCCACTGGCACAATGAGTTCAGCTACAACTGGCTGCAGAAGCAGTCGGGCAGTGGTGCAAAGGGCATGGGAGGCCTGACTGCAGGGTCCTAAAGTATGCAGGTGCAGGGCAAATGGGGAATCTTCAACACCCCCACCCCAACCCTAGCTTGACTATTACATCTGCNGCCATTTATTCCTCAATGGGAAATATTTAAAAGTTTCATTATAAAATATAATCATAATTGATCTGTCTTAGAAAGAGAGGAGAGAAGGGCAGGAAGGAATGTGGGATGGATGGATGGATGGATGGATGGATGGATGGATGGATGGAAGGAAGGAAGGAAGGAGAAAGAGAGAGAGAGAAAGAAAAAAGAAAGAAATGCAATGATCATTTCCTTACAGTGAAGCTGTATTTTTAATGATACATATTTTTGAACTGAAAGCAAATTGGAATAGTTTATGTCTTGAATTGTTGTAAGATGGCTAAGCTCTTTTGAGGCTCATGTCTAATCATAAATATTCTGTATTTTGATCCAGTTTGCTATGATTTCTACACATGTTTTAAGGAATAGGAATAAAAGGTCATATACTTAAATGTTGACCTTATCTCTCCCTCTCTCCCACCTGCTTATCCCTCCTACCCAGTTTAGGGGAATAAGTGTACAAAAACTAAAACCATTTTCTATAACAAAATTCTTGCTTATTTTTTAATTCTTTGTACAATTGGGTTCATAGCAAGCATTCCATAACTTAATTAACACATTACTGCAATGTTTTCCAAATTCTATATATTATATAGAAGAAGAGCCTCGAAATTATTTAAAATAGTCATTTTAAATAACATGCAATACCAATTAATATTTTGATACCAGATGCTGAACTTTTTGGAATTACCAAGTATGATATATTATTGAGAAGATATATGCCTTTCAGTATCCCTATCTACATGCTTATAAGAAAAGCCATTAAGTTAGTCATTGTCAGCATAATGGGATTTGAAAGTTTATATCAGACATTTACATATTCCGTGCTTTAAACATGTCTAAAATATAAATTTACAATAGATTATAATATTTCCAAAATGTCACTGCATTTCATTAGATCACCTCATGCAAACTTCTGGCCCAATATTTGGATTCTTTCTTTATAGCAATTAAGAACAAGTTGTTTTGGTTAATTACTAAAATCTAGTAATTCCACATTGATATGAAGAAATACAAAACCTTAGAACAAAATAATTTGTAACATGATACATGTTAATACCCTATTTAGGGAAAGGCAAAGGAAGAATTATGTGCCACATAATGATGCATTATAATCCATATGGCTAATGTACTTGATATGACACCACAGCAAAAAATACGGCCAGGATCTGTGTCATTATATTGCAATGTAGTTTTCATCATTTTTTTTATCACCATAGTTTGTTCCGAATGCTTACACATTTATTCCCCGAGTGCCACATTTGCTTATTATAAATATATAAATATAATAAGTGGCTAGAGTCCTATACTATGAATGGAAGCTCATAAATCTCCCCAGAAAAAAAGACAGTTTTATGATTAGTTACCCATTTATTCATAACGAGTTCTCAAAATGGGTCCAACTATCCAACTGAGGTGACTCCTCAGTTTTACAAGCTTGCTCCTATATGTAGCATGACTTCTCTACTTGGAAGCATCTAACATAAAGCAGATTTTATTTGGGTTCCTCCCTGCATAAAATAACTTAACATTACAGTACAGAAACTAAAATCTGGTGAGGGAATTTTTCCCCCTGATGTTTTAATTATAGTTGTTAACAGCTCTATAAATGAACAGAGGGCAAAAAACTCAGAGAACCGAGACAAGATTTGTCTATTAAAATAATAATGCCAAAATGCTTATCTCTTCTTCCATTGAGCTCTGAGCAGTGCTCAAGCCATTAAAATGTAAAAGTACTGTAGGAAAAATATACCTAGGTTTGAATCTGGGGGCTACTAATAAATGGGGCTTAAATTCCAGAGTTTCAAGTTACTGATTTTCTAAAGTATTGTTTTTCAAGTATCTGTAATAAAAGTATTTCATGGAGACTGTGTCCTTGAATCTTTCTCTGTGTACCTTCTAGTCCAGTGGTTCTCAACCTGTAGGTCAGGACCCCTTTGGGGGTTGAACGACCCTTTCACAGGGGTCGCCTAAGACCATCAGAAAACATACATTTTCAAAAAATATGGAAAACATAAAATAATGTTATGGTTGGGGGTCACCCCAACATGAAGAACTGTATTAAAGAGTAGCGGCATTAGGAAGGTTGAGACCTACTGTTCTAGTCAAAGTATTTGCCCTGTTTAGAATGACAATTCTGTTCCTAATTATTGCATCTCTACTTTTTAATACTGTGTTTTTCTGAATCTTACTATCACAGATTTTTTTTGGTACCTTACTGTGAATATACCATCAAATTTACATAGGGAGACATTGTAAACTTTGGCTATGAGTCATTGTATTGAAAACAATGGTACATAAATGAAATAAATAATTCTGACAGTGCCCGTCTACACACAACTAAAACTCTTGCTCATATAAACTTTTAGTGCATCATCGGGCAACCATTTTTGATCCACGATATATCAAATGGACTAACTTATAGAATGTATCCAAAATCTGGGATCCATGATGTTTTATGTAATTTGGAAAATTTCATAATACATATTATGACTTAAAATTATCATAAAACAGTTTGTGATATAATACAACATGCTAAAAACATTACCTGTGCTGATCTTTGACTGTGCTATACAATTCTACATGGGTTATTTTCAAGGTAAATATATCTCTGAAGAT